TTTATTTTAATTGCAAAACATTATCCAGTTTCACTGCTAAAATATGCACTTCTTAAGGCAATATGCGTAACTTTATTTTATCCTCCATTTTGCTTGACGTCATCTCTGCAGTGATGAAATTCTAAGCTCCTGAAGTGGACCATCTGTGACGCAGCCATTTCCATTTTTTTGGGGGTCTTCCTAACAAGACTTATATAATTAAAAAATCCTGCTTTGCTCTGAATTTTCTGACCAGAATAGTTGGCATCCCCTGTACCAACATGTTATGGCATTTTCACCTCTTGATGATGAAAGCCACATGTCAAATGCTGGATTTTGAAATCTGGAACTTTGTAGCATCAATGGGAAAACAGTAAAAGAAAAGGTTATCATGTTAGGCTCCCTTTTTCTTCTCTCCCCAGTAATTCTATGACAAATTGTAGGAATTTGTCAAAGCTGCACAGCCATGTGAACTGGTTGCTGCAGCCTTTATTTGCAGATCTAACATCTAACAAACTTGGGAGCAACCGTTATCATTCACGATTCAGTGGAGACATACTGGAAATGTAGAAAATCCTGGGCCTGCATTGTATTTCCTGATAAATTCCAATTTTCCTGCCTCTATGATGGAAAGAGCTGAGATTTGATGAATGAAATTGAGACTCAGAGCAATAGCTTTGAAGGGCTGCCAGATTTCAGCAAAGGTGAATAAGAAAGAAATAGACATTTCTGAATAAGCTGCCTTTCCCCTCTGCAAAAACAAATCAACCTCTTGTAAATCATCTTCTCGGGTGAGAATCCATCCTTCACGGAACAGGAGACAGGCTGTGCAGCACAGGCTGCTGATAGATGTTAAAAGACAAACCACCAGAAGACAAATATGTCTTCAGAAAACAGTATTAAGTAATGTTTTAAAGAGTGGCCACACATCATATTCACACAGATGCCAACAGGAAGCACAGCTCAGGAACAGAAAAGCCTTCAGATAATCTCCACCCGTTACAAAGGCAAAACCTCAACATCACTAACACATCTTAACTCATTCTCAGCAGTCGCCCTTGGTGCTGTACCGTGTATATGTTTCGTACTTCAGCACAGAGTTTTATCAAGAGGTTTATTCACTAAAATGTGCAAAATCTATAAAAAACTCTCACTGCTATTAATATTTCACGTCTCACTTACTTATCATATCCAGGGGACAGCGGGCTAAACTGGGAATTCTCAGAAGTGCTCAGCGTTGGTCTAACGGGGCTGCTGAAGTGAGGAGGGACACTGTTGAGCATCAATGTGCAGAGAGCGATGTGTTTCTGCAGATCCATGTCTCTAACCAGACCAGAAATTAGGTAGTTTTGTTAAGGGTTACAAGTTGTGGCTACCAACCCCAGTGAGACTTTCTCACCTAGGTCTTCCAGCTGAAGTGTTCTGCCTATCTGCAATGATGGTTGTGATTTAACCAGGTTGGAAAAAACCCGCTACAGGATAACAGTGTATAAATGTGATTTGGTACAGGGTTTGTAAGAAAAAGTGCTGAGAGAAAAAAGATTTCCTTCTTTCCCTCACTACTATTGAAAAAGGAACTCACCACGTTGTAAAACCTAGCCTTATTTAGATACTTTTTTATCATTTTACTAGGAAACCCCAACAACAACTGAAGTTGATACCTATCAGCTGTGTTTGGGTCCTGGACAGGAACACCTGGATCTGAATCATTAGCAGCATATTAGCAGCAGGTGCTGCTAATTGAGTATTTACTGGCTAAACACCCCTGAAAAAAAACACTAAAAGAAATATATACCAAATAAAAATAGGGTGCACATGGAAAAGAAGAAAGAGATGAATCAGTGTAGTTACCTATACAAAGTTCAGGAGCAGGGAAGCGAAGTTTCACAAAGGACATTATCAAATATGCACACTCAGGTGTGCAACTAGATCTTTTCAGCGTAAATGGTGGTTTGTCTCCCTGGCAGGAGTTGAGCTGAAGAGCAGGATTGATCTGAAAGTAACTGTAAAAGGAAATGCCATTGTGGGAGCCTGCTGTGCTGGGGCTGGATCTTTAGCTGAGGTACTGCTCAACTCCTTGGTTTCACAGAGCTTGTGAGGAATAACAGCACCAGGAAAGGAGGTTGAGCTTTGGTTTCTTTATCTCAGGTGCTGCTGCACAACTCTAGGGGTGGGAAGGGGACAAGGGCTCATTTGAGGAGCTGTAAGTCTGGGTGGGCACTGCCAGGCATGTTTGGCTCCGCAGAGCCAGTGCTGTGTTCAGTGAACCTACATATACCCGTGTCTAATGCTCTCTGTCATGATGAAGATGCTTCTCAGCTGGTGAGCTCAGGTGTGCTGGGGTGATGCAGCACAACAGGCCTGAGCACAATAGTCAAAGGCAGTATTTAGTCAGTGAGGAGGCACAAACCACAACCAAACCTTCATGGATGATATACTGAGGGCCTTATTCCTCATATTCACCAGGGTACAGGCTGGAAGGGAACCAGATCTGCCTTGGTGAGTAATCTTTGTGTGGTGGGGCATGGCTGAGGCTTTGGTGTGGGTGCCAGTGCATTCAGGGAACATGTTGTAAGTGCTTTGGTGTTGTCTTTTGGGACCTCAGGGAAACAGATGGGAAGGCAGAATTGCTGTCCCAGCAGCTCCCGATGTAGATAGACTGAGAGATGGCAAAGTAGAAGGGAAATGTGTTGTGTGGCCAAGAGAAAGACTGTGAGAGCCTATTTATATTTGAAATTAGAGAGGGGCAAACCTACAAGACCCTGTTGATATCAGATCAGAGGATATGTGGGCTTCCAGAACAACCACAAACACATTTCTCCCTTCTAAGGCTCATCATCCTAATATAGAAAGCTCCTGGAGATAATGCAGAGCTGGGCATACAGTACAGCCTATGCTCCAGGCACAGGGAGTAAGTGTTGAGGCAAGAAATGACTTTTTCCTGGCATGACCCACTAAGATTGAACTGGAATGGCAATTAGAAGTTGAAGTGCTCATTTAATGTCAGTGATGTGTAAACTACATTGCCATTGTTATTTTAGTGCTGATTTACATAATTGGCATACCCTGAAGTCACACTGCATGAACCTTCAGTTCATGCTAAAGACTTGCAGGAAGTCATAAAATTAAACATTATCTGTGCTGGAATGCAACGGAAAAATAACTAAATTTCTGAAGGATTTCACCTCACTCTGTGTCCCTTCTCCCACCATGAGTGCAAATCAGATTAGCAAGTGTTGGGAGCTGTTGGTGTGAAGGAGCTTTACCAGCTCTTCAATTACTCTGGTGTGTAACTCCTGGGGTGAGCTCCTCATCCTGCAGTGATGTTTCACCAGAGTAGCTGAAATCACTCTAATGTGACAGGAAACCGAAGGGAAGAAGGTCCACGGGAGGAATTATTCCAGTTCAAATGTGCTGAATTCCTGCCTCAGATCAGTGGTTTTCCTAGGCTGAAAGTGGAGGGAAAGGGCCGCTCCCAAAGGAGGAGCTGGTAATGGAGCTGTCTCAGTTGTTACTGTTTTAAGTCCTCCTCCGCTGGAATTCAAGGTGGCACAGGCTGGCTGTGCCTTTTGCAAATGAAGCCCCCGCGAGGTGTTGGGAAGAGAAGGTGCAGTGCAGAGCACTCGCCTTGCCGGGAAGGCACCAGTACCCCAGCTAGTGACGGTGACTCGATGGCTGTGGCTTTGATGAGGACCCTAAATTGCTGGGTACCGCATACCTTTGCAAGGGCCAGGCCCTGCCGCAGAGCCCGAGCAGACAAACAAGGGATGGGGGCGAGGGACGCGTCCCCACCGAGCTACCCATTGTATCAGGATATTTGCAATATCAGGAAAGGGAACGAGGGATGCAGCTAGGATTAGAAGCCAGATCCCAGCGAGCAGGACCTGCCTTCTTCACCCATGCTACCGCTGTGCGATGCCGGGCCCACCACAGGCGGTCGGGGCTGCAGCCCGGGGAGCACCGGCGTGGGCACGGGAGGGCCCGGCCCCGCAGGGAGCGCGGCTCAGCCCCGGGCAGGTGCGGGGCGGCAGCGGGTGGTTTGTGCCGAGGTTGCCGTGCCGGAGCCGGCGATCCGCCGCCGTTCCACCACTGGAGGGCAGCCACATCTTAAAAAAAAAAAAAAAAAAAAAAAAAATCACCCAACTCAACCCAACCCTCCGCCGCCCGCCCGGGGCTGAGCCCGCATCGGGTGCGCCGCAGCAGCGCTGCGGGAGGAGGCTCCTCCCGAGCCCGGGCGCTTCTCTTGAGGGGACGAGAGAGCGAGGAAACCCCCCGGGCTTCCAGCCTTCGCCCCCGGCTCGGGCAGCGGGCTCCGCGCGCTGGCGAAGGGAGAATAATAAATAAGGAGATATATATATACTTGAAGTGGTTTTAAAGCACCGGGATTCTCCCGGTACCTTACGTGACCTTCACACCTTACCACCCCGGCAGTCCGGGGCACGGCGCTAATCCGATTTGCGGCGGCGGAGCACTCGGGGTTCTACAATGGGGCATTGTTCGACCCGGTCCCGCGTCCCGCTCCGGCACGGCCGCACGGAGTGGGGCAAGGGACCGGCCCGGCTGGGGGTCTTCCCGCATCGGATCAGCCGCCGGTACCGCGGTTTAACGGGACAGCCGCCCGCCCCATCTCTCGCCCCGGCGGCACTGCGACCCGGGCGCGGGCGGCAGCCGCGGCGAGGGAGGGAGCGGGCGAGGGAGGAGGGAGGGAAGGAGCGAGGGAGGGAGGCGGCGTCTCCTTTAAAAGCCGTGCGGGGCCGCAGCCCGCTCCCACAGGGCGGCTGTGATTGGCGCGGGCCCCCGAGCCTCCGGGGTCGTGACATCGCCGCGCAACAAAAAGCCCCGGCGGCGGCGGCGGGCGGCCACCCCCGGCCATGGTGCGGTGCGGGGCCGGCGGGGAGCCCGGCGCGCTGCCCTAACGCGGCCGCTCCACGCGGGACGGCGGCGGGCGGCTCCCCACCCTTTTTTTTTTTTTTTCCCCCTTTTATTTACCCTCCTCCCTCCTTTTTCCTTTCTTTTTTAAGGGAGCGGAGACAAGTCAAACTTCATCTTGATGTTGCTGCGGGAATCTCGGTAAATGACCATCTGTCTGATAAGCGTGATGCAAAGGACATTTTTTAAAAGGAGCGTTTTAACTCCGTAGACACGTAGGGACCCATTCACGGGCAGGCACACGCACACAGGCGAGGAGGAGGACGAAGAAAAAGAAGAAGCAACAACTTTTCGATCGCTGCTTTTAAAAGGGAGAAGCCTTTTCCCTGGCCGGGACTTGCCTTCTGCCTCCTCAACCAGCTGCTAAAAGTATGTTTCCGAGGCGGACTGTACTTCAGGGAACTTCTGTTTTCTGCTCGGCAGCTGTAGAGGAGCAGCAGCGAAGTTTGGAGTAACACCAAGTGATGCGGGAAAAACACCCCGAGAGCAGAACACCCTCCTGCAGACACAACCCCTGCTGCTGCACACAGGTATAGCTCCGGCGGTCGCAGATCCGCTGAAAGCCTTCTCCGCAGGATGACTCCGTGGGCCACGGCGGAGGTGCTAGCGCTCTGGAAGAGAGAGGGGGGACGGGACACTAATCATAACTGCTATTATTGTTATTATAATAATCCAGCCCAGATTTTCAAGGGGGAGAATATCAGCCAGTGGGTTTGGCTGAGGACGTAGCAGGATTTTTACTTTCCTCCTTCCCCTTTTTTCACTCCACGGAGGGAAAATAACTTTCCTTTTCCCTCCGTTGGGGGAAGCCGCTGCCCCGCCGCGGGAGGAGCGGAGCCGGCCCCGAGCCCCCGCGGCTCGGCTCGGCGGGACGTCGGGGGGGAGCCCGGGGGTCGGGACGGGAGCGCAGCGGGGAGGTCGCTTTGCTGGGCTGGGCAGCCGCCCCTTCCCCTGCCGGCGGAGCGGTGCCGGGCCCGGCCCGGGGCACACCTGCGCCCCCTCCTCCCCTTCACCTCCGCGCTCCTTTGTTGCGGAGCGCCCCGCTCCGCTCCCCGGCCCGGCCCGGCCGCCGCGCTCGCTTTGATCTCCTGCCACGGGGCTTTCGGTGCCGCCGCGCACCTGAAGCGGCCCCTGGGGGGGCTCCGCCGGCCATGGCCCGGCGCCGGGCTGGGTCCCACCTGCGGACCGAGCCCGCCCGTCCCCCCCTTCCCCCGGCGCGGTGTCCGCGCTGACTGGCTCCCATCGCCTCCTCCTCCTCCTCCGCGCAGGTTGATCATGGTTGCCGTGACCCGCTCCCTCCTGGCGCTGCTGCTGTGCCAGGCGCTGCTGGGCGGCGCGGCCGGGCTCATGCCGGAGGTGGGTCGGCGGCGCTTCATCGAGCCGGGCCGCGCCGCCTCGGCCGCGCAGCGCCCCGAGGACCTGCTCAGCGAGTTCGAGCTGCGCCTGCTCCACATGTTCGGGCTGAAGCGGCGGCCCAGCCCCGGCAAGGACGTCGTCATCCCGCCCTACATGCTGGACCTCTACCGCCTGCACGCGGGGCAGCAGCTGGGGCAGCCGCCGGCGCTCGGCTTCCCGCTGGAGCGGGCGGCGAGCCGCGCCAACACTGTCCGCAGCTTCCACCACGAAGGTACGGGCGGGCCAGGGCTCGGCGGGCTGCGGGAGCGGAGGGCAGGGCAGGGCTGGAGGAGGAGCGGGGGGCGGATTCCTCCCGCCGGTACCGCGGGGTTCGCGCGGGGCACGGGCGCTCCTGGATGGGCGCGATGCCCGACGGGCTCTGCTGAGGAGCTTTTGCCTCCCTTCTCCCCGCCCGACGGGGCGCTCCCGTTTATTGGCTTTTCCCGCTAAACCCGCTCCGCGTTAAGCGTTCCCACAGAGCGCCGCTCTCCTGCGAGGCTGGAAAGCAGCAAAGGCTCCTTAATGCGCGGCTGAGCCGGGCCGCTGCGGAGGTTTCTAATCCTTATCTAATCCCCGTGAGAGATCAATGAGACAATCAATCGCGACCTCCTCCGGCGTTGCCGTCGAGGAGCGATGTAGCCGGACTCACGCTACGGCTCCCCGGGGTTTGGCTCTCATCTGCGGTGCCTCCAGCAGCACCTCTGCAGCCCCTCCTCACCTGCAGCCCACCGAGGCAGCCGACCCTCTGAAACGGGCCCTACTCAGCATTCGGGTGCGTTTTCCGGCTCTTGTAGCCAAAATAGTGGCTGTGGCATCAGCCACGGCACGGGGAGGCCCGTGGGGCACGTGTCGCTCACGTGCTTTTTGGGAAACGTTTCCCCGGGTTGTAATTGTTCCTGGCTGCTGGCCTCCGGTGTTGGCATGCAGTGGCCCCGCTGCAAAAGTAATGAAAGTGCAGTTTTCCCATGCTTTTAGCATGAAACTGTGTCAAGAAAAGAAATCTATTAGTATTTCAGTTTCTGATGGATGAAGGAGGTGGCCTCAGAGAAGTGGATGTGCTGTTTAATGGAAAGCCTTGTCGAGAGAAAGGAGATGAATGATGAAATCTAACCTCTCCTCTTCAGTGTTTCCCTGCATGGGAAGTAAACACCTGGCAGTAAATGGGGAAAAGCCAGTGTGTGGGTCATTCCCATTAAACCCAAGTATGGTAGGCAAGGGGCTGACCCAGAGAAGAGCTGAAAGGGCAAAGTTGATAATGTTTAGGCAAATGTAAAAATCTGCAGTTTGAAGTAGTCGTACTGTTACAGCAAGGGCTGGTTTTGTTAGGAAAGCAATTTTGTAACTTTCACAAAGTTTAGAAAGCGTGGCTCCCATTTTCTCACTGAGTTCTCACTCTTTATTAGTGGCTTCTTGAAAGCATAAACTTGTCTAGTGACCATTCAAGACACCTGCATATTTACAGGTGTTTGTCTGCTCCTGAAATACTAAGAGTGAGTCTTACCTTATGCAAAAAGTTGTAGTGGATTCAATGGGGAATGGTTGCATGACTGAGAACTGCTGACAGCAGTTATGCCTTCCCCTTAGAAAGTGATTTTTTTTTTTCTCCAGCATGCTTAGCACCACAATTAAAAACCATGACTTGAGGGAGCTTTGTTTTGGCAAATACTTCTAATTTCTTCAATGTCTGTAGCAACAACGTACTTCTTAGCAGCCCTAGGTATGTTTTACTCCCTCTGGAGCTCCATTCAGTAATTTGTTGACTCAAAAGTGAGAATGGCCTGGGGTTTAGTGACTTCTTGAATTTTTGTTTGTGGTGGTTTTGAAAACTTGTTGTTTGGAGGTGACTTTCGCTATCCCTTTACCATCCACCTCTTTTTTTTTTCATAGTTGAATCTTCCCGCTGTTCTTTATGGCCCTTTTGGGTAAATACTAGGGTGTACTTTGTAAAGTACCATTACAGATGCTGAGTTCACAGTCTCTAACTAAAGATACAAAAATCCATAAGTTTAGCTTTGTTAGTCACCTAAATTGCAGAGTAATGTTTTTCAGAATAGAGTTTAAGGGATTGATGTTAGAGCTGTATTCTTGAAAAAAGCAGAAATGCAATAGTTACCCAAAGTCCTCAACTGTTCTTAATGGTTCCCCACTAACTATAGGGCTTGGGTTTTCTCTCCCCATCCTTGAATTCCAAATTAATTCAAAATTTCTTGCCACTTATGATAAGCACGTGGAACGCAAAGGGCACCAGTATTCAATCCAAATGTGTAACAATGAATGAAGCATTTTTGACTTGATGCTATATGTGCTTGCAAGACAAACAGAAAGACAAGGGTGACGATATTTTCTGCTGGAAAGTCTTTCAGATCTTGCGTGCCACATGTGTTAGCTGTCATTTGGAGGCTGCCAACAGCAACTTGTCTTGAGGGGGTTTGGTTGCTTGTCTCAGTTCCTGATTTTTTTTTTCCTTTTTTCTCTCTTTTTTTTATTTTTTTTTTATTTTCCCTGTTTAATCACATTAGAAGTTTTGGAAGAACTGCCAGAAACGAGTGGGAAAACATCACGGCGTTTCTTCTTTAATTTAACTTCCATCCCTAACGAGGAGTCTATCACCTCAGCTGAACTCCAGATTTTTCGGCAACAGGTGCACGGAGCCTTTGAGAACAACAGCAGCTACCATCACCGTATTAATATTTATGAAATTATAAAGCCAGCCACAGCCACCTCTAAGGACCCTGTCACAAGACTTTTGGACACCAGGTTGGTGCATCATAATGCAAGTAAATGGGAAAGTTTTGATGTAACGCCCGCTGTTTTGAGGTGGATTGCACATGGACAACCTAATCATGGGTTTGTGGTAGAGGTGGTTCACTTGGACAAAGAGAACAGTGCCTCCAAGAGGCACGTTAGGATTAGCAGGTCTTTACATCAGGATGAAGATAGCTGGTCTCAGCTCAGGCCATTGTTAGTAACGTTTGGGCATGATGGCAAGGGACACCCGCTCCATAAGAGAGAAAAGCGTCAAGCGAAACACAAACAGCGTAAACGCCACAAATACAGTTGCAAAAGGCATCCGTTATATGTGGACTTCAATGATGTGGGGTGGAATGACTGGATTGTGGCCCCGCCGGGGTATAGTGCCTTTTACTGCCATGGGGAATGTCCTTTTCCACTGGCAGACCATCTAAACTCAACAAACCATGCCATTGTTCAGACTTTGGTCAATTCAGTGAATTCCAAAATCCCCAAGGCTTGCTGTGTGCCGACAGAACTGAGTGCTATTTCCATGCTCTACCTTGATGAAAATGAAAAAGTTGTATTAAAGAACTACCAAGATATGGTCGTGGAGGGTTGTGGGTGCCGCTGAAAACAGAAAATAAATTAAAAAAAATCTAAAAAAAAAAAAAAAAAAAAAAAGAAATAGCTGACACTTTAATATTTCCCAATGAAGACTTTATTTATGTAATGAAATGGAAAGAAAAAAAAACACAACTATTTTGAAAATATATTTATGTCTACGAAAAAGTTGGGAAAACAAATATTTTAATCAGAGAAATATTCCTTTAAAGATTTTAAATGTATTTTAGTTGTACATTTTATATGGGTTTAACCCCAGCACATGAAGTATAATGGTCAGATTCTTATTTTGTATTTATTTACTATTATAACCACTTTTTAGAAGAATAGCTAATTTGTATTTATATGTAATCAAAAAAGAAAAAAATATAGGGTTTGTACATAATTTTCCAAAATTGTAGCTGTTTCAATTGTGTGTATTTAAGTTGAAAAGAATACATGGAAGGTTACTATGGCAAAGTGCATAGCACATTTGCTTTCTGCTGTGCTACTGTTAAGGTCACAAGTTCAAGTCCAGAAAAAAGTGGATAATCCACTCTGCTGACTTTCAAGATTATATTGTACAATTCTCAGGAATGCTGCAGGGTGGGCTGTCCAATCCATGAGAACTGGCATCCTCTTTAGGTGGAACATTTGGATAAGAACCAGACATTGCTGATCTAGTATAAATACTGCTATTCCCAACTAATTTGCGGCGTGAATATAAGAAGGGCCAATAGAAATCCTATGGGAGGCGGGGGTGGGGGAAGTCTGAATCCTTTCTAGACCTACAGAAAAGTGAATGTTTGATGTTTCCTTTAAAAGTCCTTCCTTTAAAAGTCCTGGCCAAATATAAAATAATAAAAGCTAAAATGTCATCCTTTTTTTCCTGTGATTATCTATTCTAAAGAGGAATACTTAACCTTATTTGTACCAGCCCTTGTCTTTAACAGTTGGAAAAGCATTGCATACTTCCTCACCTCAGAGGAGAGCTCACTTCTGTGGAGTGTTATAGTGAAGTTAATCTGCAATTTTTGCCCTACATACAGTGAGCTGTTGTCATGTGCAGCCTCCTCTCTAACCTCAGCTGATGGGTTTGCTCTTTGGCAGATTAGCATCTCTTCATTTCCAGGGTTTTGTGTTTGAAACCTTTTTTTTTTTTTCTTCCCGAATGTTTAAATCTATTGCAGATAATAAATCATAGAACTCTGTTATTTCTTTCTGAAAAGTCCAGCCTATAAAAAAAACGGTTCTCTTGTGCAGCCATCACAAGAGCAACTTGTGGTTGCATCTTTTTTGCTTTTTAAATCCTTCCTGTGAGGGGCAAAGGCGTGATTTGCAGTTGGCAGACACAGCATCAAAGCTGCTCCTGATGGTGCCTGTAGTGTGGTACAAGCCTGGTCTGGCAGTCAGGTCACTGGGGAAGCTGAGCTGAAATAGCAGAGGGGGAAAGTGGCTTAAATGGGCTTCTTGGTCGTCCCCTTGAGCTCTGGTGTGGATCCACTTCTGAGTTTGATGAACTGAGGCAGCAAGTCCTAAAGCCATATGTGCAATGGGCCCTTTAGAGACCTTTCTAAGTCAACTCTGGGGATCTCTGATTTGGGCCTCTTACTTCTTATTAACAAAACCCTTTTCTTTCTCATGGCTCTCCCCAGAATCTTTCCTTCTTTCCTTTTTTTTTTTTTTTTACCAGAATCATCTGGGCTGCAGCAAAGGTACTAAATAGATGAGATGATCAGAAAGGCTAACTTGATCAGCAGGTCTTCTTGTAGAACAGCTCTCTGCTGCTAATCTTCACAAAAATCAGTGGGTACAGAGGATAGGAGAGAAAATCTGATTTCCTATTGGCTGCCTCCACTTTTTATCTTGTGAGCTTAAAAATACCTTAGACTGTAAGCTGCTGTGGCGAGATAAAAACTTATGTATTTCTTTGTACCAGCAGTATTTTTAACGGCTATTAGAGAACAGTCCATCACTCTGCAGTTTGGCTCTGCTTGTTTTTGAGAGATAGCTGATGTTGGTCATGCTGATACTACGTAGTAGCCCATGAGTTGACTGAGTGGACAACCTCCAGGTGGTTTTTCTGGTGCCATTCTGGTGGCTAATATTTTTAGTGGGGAAGTTTAGCTTGCCTTTTGCTTGCTTCCACCTTTCCTGGTGATGGATGAGTTTATGGCTGTTGCTTTGGCAAGGGCGTCGGTCCCAGGATGTGAGAATTTGTTCACTGTGGTGTGTGGCTGTGCCAGTCAAGTCACAGCTGTGTTAGTGCACTGTAAAACCTAAGCCTGTGAAAGCTGGGTGTAAAGTGCTGAAAATGTGATGATGAGCAGGGAAGGTATGATCCCAAACCCGCTGAAAACTGTAAAGAACCCACAGCACTTCCAACCAGATCCTCAACTCCGGTGTTACAAGGCTCAAGTTTCACAGCTCCTTCATGTGTAACGAGACTGAGGGAGGCTTTTTACAGAGTGGTGACTGCTTGACTTGTCCTGTAAGGCATGAGAACACGTTGGTGCTAATCTTGTTTCCAAAAAATTGGCTGTGGCACTTGTCTATGCATGAGCAGTAGCTGGTCATGGCGTGATGCTGCATTCCTTACAAAGTTAAACCTCCTGTTGCTTGACAAAGATTCTCATCCTTAGTCAAATACACTGTGAAGCCAATGTAGAGTTGTAAACCTATTAAGACCTGCTCTCGTAAGCATTTCTATAACTGAGTAGTGTTAGTCACAGAATCATCAGTTCCACGCTGATTTTGAGGAGGAAATATGCATTGTGTCAGGCTCAGCACGTCAGTACATTTCTGCAGAATCAGTTTTGTAATGTATCTTTAAGTCCTTAACCTTTAGCCTCGCTCTCTGTGTTGGAGACTTGAGAGTGCTGCACTAAAGACTTTGTTTAGGATTTAAGGTAAAAGAAACAAAACAAACTTTCATAGATGAGTAGTAGAAAATTCTCTTAGACATGAGTTGGGTTCCTGAATCCTTTTAGGTAGGGCTGATGATTGGACAGCCCTTCTCAAAGGTTTGGGCTTTCTGACATCTTTAAAAGGCTGACAATGACTGCTAAATAATGCTAAATACTAATGGTATGCTGTCACCACAGCACTCCAGTACTTACTTTAGTTATTTAGTACTTACTAGTGTTATAGTAATCTACAAGGAGAAATGTACTTTTTTTTTTCCTCTTAAGAGGAGAAAAAGCAAAAGATTTTGAAGGCAAAACCGCCTTTGTTACCTTATAGCCCCTAAACATTTTGCTTCTAGGCACTTATATAATCTAGGCAGAGATTGTGATAGATAATGTCACCCTTTGTGCATTTCAGATAAGCATCTCTCTAAACACAAATGTGATCAGCATCTCTCCTTGTCCTTTTGAGAGTCAGTAGCAGCTTTGTCGAGTGGCTTGATAATTTTTGCGCAGAATTCAGTTGGACTTCTGTGGTCAGCACCATAAAAAATGACGCGGGAGGATCGTCAGCTGAGGTAAGCTCTCCCGAGAGCATTGCCCATTCCCAGCGAGCAGGGGCTGCTCTGCTGCTCACCTGGGCTCACCACAACCAGGCACCAGGCCTTTCCTGCTCCTGTGGGGTTTGGGTGGCTGCAGACCATCACCTGCTCCCCCCTGCCAGGCAGCTGAGATCTCACATCCATACCGTGAGGCTTGGAGAGGAACGTGATTTATTGTACTCTCAGCTTTGGAGAAGGAGCTCATCTGGACTGCATTTATATTAGACCCACTTTGCTACACTATTAGAGGAGGATAATTATCGAACTATTTTATTGTATAGCTATTCCTAAACTGTAGATTTTTGGGGGGGTTTTTTGGTTGTTTTTTTATTGATTTCAGGAGGCAGCTAATTGCCATATGGCAGCTTGATGTTAATGTTTTATGAAGATCAGGAAACAAAAGTTTATGAAAAGCTTTTGTATAGTAACTGCAGAGTTTCAAGAACTGTTTTATACTTCCTGACAGTGCAGGTCTGGCTTAATGGTTTGTTTTTATTGCTTAAGAGTGTAAACCTTTCTTTAGCCGATGTGTGGAAATTATATCCTCATCCCGCATTACGCATTTCTCATTGCTCATTACTCATTCCTGCTTTCATTGCTGCCATCTGTAATCAGAGCTTTACTGTTTCAACTGCATGCAAAATGCTCCTCTCCTTTGCACAGTAAGATACTTTTCCTTAGCACTCACCCACCCTTTCAAAGAAAAAAAAAAGGAGGGGGAAGGCGGGGGGAAAAGGGGGAGAAAAAGCCTACTCTGCCTATATTGTTTTTCTCTGTTTTGGGTGGAGTCTGTGTTAGATTTTGGTTGCTAGATGGTTTCTGTAGTAACAAGCAGAGAAAAATCCAAGACTGAAAAGGCACTTTTAAAGGTGCCATATCTTGCCTGAAGTATTATTTATCTAATTATGGATCTGGAATGTTTAGCTTCTCCTTTACATTAAGGCAACCCTTTTGGTAGGGCAGACTGCTGCTGTGAGATCTTGATATGTAGTGATCTTACAACATGAGAACCACAAATCTTGTTCCAGTTGACTTAAGCTGCTCAAAATAATGATGAAAAGCCAAAGGCATTATAACGTGTTTTTAAAGACTGTTACAGGCACAAACCACTTTGGTTTTTAGTTACATAGGAAAGAAACAAGAAGCTAAGTTCAGAAGGACACTTGGACTGTACGTGTTACTGCTGTAAGGAATGTGTTGGATACAAGCAACAGTGTTTTATTTTGTTAGACTACTGTATACAAGGAAGAAAACCCAGCTCCTTCAGAACATAACCTTACTCTGCTGTACTCCAAATTTTTTTGTTTATTTCTCATAAGAGATTTTGCAGATGTGTGCCAAAGTAACTGTGTGTATCTACTACTTTTGCCTTGCTTGGGCACAAAAAGAATTCAAAAAGTATTTTAAGATTACTTCTTTCCCGTCTCTCCAGTACTAATCCTTCCTTACCTGTATTTCTGACAGCCTTGCCTGCAACAAGCAGTAATGGTTTCCTAAGGTGGAGTTTCCTCTCTTTTTGGAATCTAGTCACGTGTCAGTGCCCTCCAGGATTTAGCAACGTTCCGTCCGCGAGCCTTGAGCAGTGGTCACTTAGAAAAGCAGGTACACTGGTTTTGTCCTGGTTCTGTGTCCTTCACAGAGGCAGTTTGTCCCAGCCTTCAGCAGGATCTTAGTTTGGGAAGGTCTGGAGGCTTGCACCCCTGGGTGCAGCAGGAGACACCCCGTAACACCAGGGACTGTGTCTGTAACTTGCCAGAAGTCTGAGGGCCAGAGCTCATTTACATCTGTATTTCCATAGTGCTGTGAAGGCACTTGGCTGCAATACCTGCCTGGGCTTGTGCTGCCCTCCATGGATGAACAGAGGCTGAGAGCTCTTGGACTTCTCCAGGGGTAGGGAATCTGCAGTGGGCCAGCCTGGCTCTCATCTCCTGAGAGGTGGGTTTGCCCTTCACACCTGGGGCTTCTGCAACACGTGCTTGGCTACCCACCCAGAAATGAGAGCAGAGCCACTGGGTCAGGGCTGTGGTGGGAAGAAGCAGATCAGTGTTGTTTTAGTTTGAAAAAAGGCAGGGATTTTCATGGGAAAAAGTGGTAGGTGAGGGAAGTGGAGAAGGACTCCACAAGCTTTTGAAGCTCAAAGTGTTAAAAGCTTCTAAGGGAACTTCAGGTAGAAAGATCAGAGCAGTGAATTGATAACATTATGAAAGTTCAGGTTCCCAC